AAATAAATTAAAAAGAAAAATATATATTCAAATGTCATATATAGAGAAATCTAGTTTCTGCAGTGGAAAGCATGTATTTTTTAAGTGCTCAAAGAATATTTACAAAATTGCTGAATATTTTTAATTAAATAATTAATATTTAAATACTTAATAGACCCAACAGAATAACTTACTGAGACATTACTTTGATAAATATTGAAAATGGCCTAAAAAGTATAAGTGGGAAAATGAGGCCTTTTCAACCTGCATGTCCTCCCTAAAATTTTTTTTTCGTTTTGAAAATTGTAGGACAATAATTCCTACCATCCATGTGAAGTGTGTGTGTTTTGGTTGGGGGGAGAGGCTGTTGTATGTGTTAACTGGCTAGTTTACAATAAAGTTATCTAGAAGTTTTAGCAGCAACCAGATTTTAAAGACTACTGGTCTTCCTGGGGTTCCCAAGAAAACCTTGAATGCATTTAATAGAAAAAGTTGGATTCTGTTTACATAAATAAGGTACCGAGAAAAGTAAATTCACTTTAGTCATGATTCTAATTGTGACCAAATGCCCTTCAAAAATGTAGATATCCAATATATAATCTATGTAGTAGGTTTTAAAATTTTCTTAACAACTGATGTTACTGAACACAAATTATAAAGAGGGAAAAAATGCACAACAATGAAAGAGAATATGTCATTTGCATGCTTGCAAATGAGAAATCAGCTTTTACTTCAAAATCATTATGAAAAATTTTATTCAAATGGAAAATACAACAGGCAGTGTAGGAATAGTAGTTAATTTGAGCTGTTCTGAGAATAACATGTTTTCATAAAGACTGCATTGCACTCATCTTTAAGCATGTCCTGGTGCTTTACTGTTTGACATTGGCCACACAACTAAATTTAAAAGCTTCAAGAATGTTAGTGCACATTCAGAATTCATGTGCACATAGAGTTTGAGGTCAGAACCTTACGGAGAATCATGACTGGTGATATTAAACTTGCCTTTCTTTAAAGGCAAGTGTATTTGTTCAGAAATGGGAAGTTTACTACCAATCACATTTTTTTCGTATTAGTAATGGTAGAATTTGTGTTTTCCCATGATACATATATAAAATGTATAAATTTTTTTTATATTTCAACACTTTGAATCCTTTCAGGCATTGTTAAACAATCGAAATTTCTCTTGCAATATGCTAATAACTAATCATATTTTCTCAAAATCACTTGACATAATGTTTGATTGAAGGAAATATCTCTGATATCATTTTACTTGTTGATATCAAATGAGAATTTGAAACTTCAAGAAAAAAATTAGAAAATGTAATAATAGAATATGAATGTTATGAAATACAGAATTCATTCTCAAAAAATGTATATAAATCATAATCATAGAATAATAAAGTAATACGTAATTTTTTGAACTAAATTTACATTCTAAATTTGAATAAAAAAGAATTATAAAATGTTAAGTTTAATAATATTTTATATAAATATAAAAGTATGAAAATTATTCTGATATTACTTATTTTGAAAAGGACATGAAGCAATGAGAATTTTCAAACACTGCTCCTAAGATTATAAATTGATATAATTCCTTGGCTTAGTATCGCATTATCTGATGAAGATGAAGGACCACATCTTAATTAAGACCCAGTACAGGTACTCTTACCAGAAAACATACACGCACAAACACATGCATATCACTGTGTTTTCATAGCTAAGTTGAGAAGTTTCTTAAATGCCCATCAATCTATTTAAAATAGATAAATAAATTATGTCATATCTGTGTAATAGAATACTACACAGCAATCAAAATGAACCAACTAGAGAGACATGTTTACAAAGAATGTATATAACAAAGAAAATTAAGAAATTTGAGCTAATTAGATAATACAGATGTAAGAGGAACTATCAATAGTAAAAAACATTCATTTAAATTCCATTTATATAGTATTTTCAAAAATATAGCTTTAATACATTGTAATTTATTACATTGGTGACAAAACTCTAAAATGAAACATGAATGACTATCATAACACTAGGGATAGTAGGGAGGGGGAAAACAAGAGGAGAATAAGATCTACAAGAAGGCATATATGGGGAGTGTCTGGATGGCTAAAAAATTCTATTTTATGACCAAGATGTGGCAAACACAGGGGTAATGTTATAATTTCTTCTCTTACTGTGTATTTCGGTTTTGTTGCTTTCTGTCTGTGTGCTATGTTCCACAATAATAAAAATATTTAAAAGGCAGAAAAACAAAGTAAAATAATGAATATAAAATTATACCAAAACTACATATTCTCATAGATACAATTATTAGAGTTTTTAGTGAATAAAGTCAAATAGACTATTATGGTAGTTATAAATGCAGGTTAAAATTTTAAACTTTAACTTTAAAAAGAAAATATAAGCAAAGAGTATAAATTCAAATTCTTACTATTAATTTGAAACATCAAATTTTCAATATTGATATATTGCTGGACACCTTTTGTTCTTATTTCCAATTTATTTACAATGCACAAAGTGACAAATTACTGATTTTTTGATAAATTATAGTACTGTGGATATTAAATACATGGGACAATTATTCCTAAAGTTATCCTTAAATAAAATAATTTCACTCATATTGTTGCCATTCAAAAATCATAATATGTGCACGTGTGTTGGAAAAATATTTTGCTGATATAAATTTTTTGATTCTCTACTAATTCTACTAGTAGTTGGATATCCAAAGGAATTGCATCAAATGATATATGAAAGCATGCTCATAGTAGCATTATTCATGAATGCTCAAAAAGGAAAATCCCCCAAATATACATCAACTAAAGATGGATGAATCACTGCAGTAAATCTGTACAATAACAATATAGATAAGTGAAAAGATATAAATCACAGATACACGTGACTATGTGACTAAATTTCAGATAAGATCAGGTACATTCAGAGTGGTATGGCCACAGACTAAGTGACCAAATTTCAGAAACATAGTATTGAGTCCAAGAAGCTATGAACAAGAACCTACACCCATGCATGGTTTAAAGTAGGCAAAACCATGTTAAGGAGTTTAGGGTTGCATACCTAGTTGGTACGGCATAAAGAAAACCAAGGAAATGATCATCATAAATTATGAGTATTGCTTACCTCAGGAGATGTGAAGAAACATTTAAGGGCTTGAAAAGCAGCATGGGAGTAGCCCTAGGCTCTTGGTAGTGTTCCATGTCTTGCCCTATGTGGTGGGTACATGAATGTTTATGATGCATTGCTGTGTTTACCATTTTTATTTTGACTCATTTATAAGTGTGCATTATACTTTTATTTGAAAATTATTTGTTAGGAGAAGTGCACCATAAAAATTATTGATTACTCTGCTCATTATATACCTAGGAAAAAATTTACCATTTATGTATCTTTATATACAACTCTAAGAGAGTTGAAGTATGAACTTTAATTTAGCTACAACATGTAGAAATAAGAGAAGATGTTACCTGCAGTACACAGATCTTTCTAAAGGTGTTTTCTACTTTTAATGATCTACCTTGCAGGTCAAAACTTTGTCATTCCTCATCTATTTTTCTTTTGGTTTCTGTATTCCTGATACAACAAGGGTGGACATATTTCCCACACTCTTGGTTTAGCAGAGTACCTATATCAAGTAGGTTTTTCTGCCAGAGAAACCTCTACAAAACTACGTTACATATTGATATCTCACATATCTTTGGATGAAGTTTTTCTAAGCTGGGTTTGGTGGGTGGCTCTGGTGACTTGAGATGGGCCAAGTTCTGCAGCGTGGAACTAGTTAGACTTTGGCCAATTTAGGCTGGATCACGCAGAGCAAACTAACTCCATTATTTTCTCATTCTCCTTCTGGGAACAGTGTAGTAGCCAGGTGGTGTTCTCATAATAAACAGAAAAGAAAAAGAAACTCCAGTGTGGATGCCATCTCAAATCTGTGTGAAGTTTACCAATTTTCCGTTAATCAAAGCAAGTTATCTGAGAACCCTGAGTCCGGGAGCAAGGTAGTCACCCTGTCTGTGGTGAAAAAATACTGCAAGATTATATGTCAAAGAATGTGATACTCAGAAATATTTCTAAAAGTGATGAATATTTTAATAAAATAACAAATATTTAGACATTAAATAGACGAGAGGAACTTTGTCAAAGGTCTAAGCATGAGAGATATGTTTGATACATTTTTATGTGTTAAAAACTCTGAGTGGGAAAAAAAGGAATAATTTTACCAGGATGATCTCCTGGAAACTCATTTTACATTTTGTAAATTATTTTGGAAATTCCTTTTTTTCTGGAGGGGTGTGTGTGTGTGTGTGTGTGTGTGTGTGTGTGTGTTTGTCTGTCTGTGTATGTTTTGTGAGCTTGTTAACAATAATGTCATACAAAAGTACTGGTTAGCAGTAATAAGATTTTAAGGTGTATTGACCTTCCCATGGTTCTCAAGAAAACTTTGGATGATTTGGATTAAAAATTTTGGATTTTGTCTATTTAAATCTAGCATAAAATTGGTCATGGTGATGATCCTAGTTATGACTAATATCCCTTTAAGAATTTAGACATTTACTTTATGAACTATGTGGTAAAATTTCCATAACCAATAGCAAAAGTTGCTGAACACAAATTATGGAGATGTGAAACGAGGGAAACATTGCAAAACATTGAAAGAGAATATGTCTTTATTTGCATGCTGGCAAATGAAAATTCAGGCTTCACTTCAACTTCAGTTGAATATTTCCAGTCTCTAACAAGAATAGTCATTGAATGAATGAGTTAAGTTGAGCTGTTTGAACATTAGAATGTTTTCCATAAATACATTTTTTGAACTCATCAATTAGCATTAACTGGTACTTTTTTGTTTGACACTGGTCACAGTATTTGAAAGTAAAAAGAATGTTACTGCAGATTCAGGAATCAGGTGCATATAAAATTTAAGGTCAGGGTATTAAAAGAATCACAGCCAGTGTTGTTAGGCTTTCATTTTTTTCTGTCTTTTTGTCTGTTCAGATATGGTAACTTTTCTACACATCATTTTTTCCATTCTACTAGTGGTTACATTTGTTCTTGGAAATTTTGCTAATGGCTTCATAGCATTGGTAAATTCCACTGAGTGGGTCAAGAGGCAAAAGATTTCCTTTGCTGACCAAATTCTCACTGCTCTGGCAGTCTCCAGAGTTGGTTTGCTCTGGGTAATATTCCTACATTGGTATGCAACTGTGTTTAATCCAGATTTGTTTAGTTTAGAAGCAAGAATTACTAATAATAATGCCTGGGCAGTAACAAACCATTTCAGCAACTGGCTTGCTACTAGCCTCAGCATATTTTATTTGCTCAAGATTGCCAATTTCTCCAACTTTATTTTTCTTCACCTAAAGAGGAGACTTAAGAGTGTCATTCCAGTGATACTATTCGGGGCTTTGTTATTTTTGGTTTGTCATCTTGTCATGCTAAACATGGATGAGAGTATCTGGACAAAAGAATATGAAGGAAACGTGAGTTGGAAGATGAAATTGAGTGACACAACGCATCTGTCTGATATGACTGTAAGCACACTTACAAACTTAATACCCTTTACTCTATCCCTGACATCTTTTCTCCTGTTAATCTGTTCTCTGAGTAAACATCTCAAAAAGATGCAGCTCCATGGCAAAGGATCTACAGATCTCGACATCAAGGTCCACATAAAAGCTCTGCAAACTGTGATCTCCTTCCTCTTGTTATTTGTTATTTATGTTCTGTCCCTAACCACGTCAATTTGGCATTTTAGAAGGACACTGCAGAATGAACCTGTCCTGATGCTCTGCCAAATTACTGCAATTATATATCCTTCATTTCATTCATTCGTCTTAATTTGGGGAAGCAAGAAGCTAAAACAGACCTTCCTTTTGATTTTGTGTCAGAGTAGGTGCTGAGTAAGAGGCCAGAAACTCTCAAATTTCTGGATTCATGAGTGGGACATCATGTGTCTCCAAGACAAAACAAACTGATGCTGTCTAGAACATTTTATACTTTCTGCTGGCTTTTTGTAGTGTATGTCTTTCAGTAATTTCCAAAAGTAGACCTAGAAAAGTCTTTTACCTAAAGTTAGTCTTAAAAAGTATCTATATATGCATGTGTATGTGTATATGAAACACTTAAGAGACAGTGGCAATAACATAATCTTAATCATTTTTTTACAAACTGCCAAATTATAGAAAATATGGTAAGAAATTTTTCAAAATAATGAAGCCATGTGTATTTCACATATACATTTCATATTATCATGTCTTATTTGAAAAATTCATGATCTCCATTTATAATTGTTAAGAACTTAACAGCTTAGTTCACAAAAAGTTGCTCTTTTCCACTGTTATTTGTATCATACATGCGTACCATAGTGTGCTTAAACATCATTATGTGAACATCTAGTGTTTGGGATGGTATGAGAATTCTATTCTAAATCAATAATGAGTTTTATCTTTGGGGTAGTTTCAATTTCATCATGAATTCTATTTTTATGTTTAGTTTAAAGCAAGCAATTATTGTTAGAAAACTATGCTCAAAATGAAACTCAAGGATGAAAAATATATTTGGAATAAATTTTGTATATGTCTATTATAAACAGTACTGAGGAATATTAGATTTTACACAAATATGTGAACAACTGAGAAAAAAGTCATTTCTGTAATTTGGACAGAAACACATTGATGACCTCAAGTGCTGTCATAAGTCTCCATATACAGTTAGAAAGGTCATTTCTTCCAGTTTTTGAGGTGAAGAAAATCTTTTTAGAAGTTGAGATCTGATGTCAAATATTTTAGTTTTATTTCTGAACCACCTCAGAGTCCCTGAATTGCCATTTACCTTCAATAACTTCCACATTTAAAATTCTTTGTAAACATCACATAAATGAACTCAAATCTTTATTACTTAAAAATAATCAATGGAAAAATAGTATAGAAATTATTAAAATCATTGAATTAAACTTTCTGCAAATGTTAAAATGACATCTATGAAATCTATGTACTGATGATAGAAAATGACTTAAATATTTGTTTTATTATAATCTAGCTGCAAATAATGCAGTGAGATAAAGTGTGTTGATATATTTAGTGACAGCAAGTTCCATTACAGGAAGAAAGTGTATAACAGCATTAAACAAGTAAATTCAACAGACTGTGTTAATTCTTGGGGTTATGAAATTTTAACAGTGTTATCAAAACCTTTAGATAAATCATCTGATTTAGTTATTTACTTATCATACATCTTTCCTGGTACACCGTAAGCACCATAAAAGCAGAGATCATAGAGATCGTGCTTACTGTTGACTCCTAGGACTTACAAGATAGCACAAAAGATAGGTATCCAAAAGTATTTTGATTAACAAATAAATTGGTAAATACATGAATAAATTATATATTTCTGGGTGGTGAACCAATGAAAATGAAACATCACAAAATCTAGTTCCATGAATTTTCCTATTCTGGTTTCTGGTTGAGATTACAGGATTATCTAAGAAGAAACATTTCTCAGAGTAAAAGTGTGGCTATTTCATAATTGTAAGGGAAATATCACTATAATATAGCCTCAATTCAACTACATCAGATGAAAGATATGGATGGAGACAAGGTTGAACATCTAAATCAGATGGCACCTATTACAATACCTTTAAAAAAGCACATAAAATATTTTTGGATATATGCGTGTATTTTTTTTCAATTGCGAATGATATGTTTGTATTGTGATATTTCTAGATGGTTATTATGTAATGAAAATAGCTATTCATTTTTAAAAATTGATTTAGTTATCAATGACCTTACTAAAATGTGATTTTTATATAATGTTTTAATATCCTTTCTCAAGGAAGATTTTAATTGCCATATTATAAATTCACAGAAAAATGTATGAATAATAATGATGCCACTGAATAAATAGCTTTGGGGGTCTAGAACACAATGTCTGATATTAAAGTGATGACATTTATTTGGAAGGTAAGGCCAGGGCAGCAATGGTGGGGACACGTGTAAATTGAGGCGAGAGCAGATGTGAAACAATGTGTTGTGATGTAACAGTGTGTTGTGTGTATGTGACTGTGTTGTGGCCGTTTCACAATAAGGTGAGAGAGATAGCATGATGGTCATCAGATGTGTACACTTGGCTCCCACTACTCTTCCAGAGTGGCTACAAGGGGAAACCATAGCCAGCACGAATCCATGGACACGAGAGAGGAGGGACAATGTATCTGCTCAGCTGCCTTCTGTTGTTGATTTCCCATTGGCCAGGGTTTACCTGAGGCAGAACTACCATCTCTACTGTTCTGCCTTCCATCATCCAGTCCCTTGGTGGCTGTTATGAAAGTCAAATATCATCCCACAGTGTGGTGATCCATTCAAGCCCCAATAGGAAGGATGATCTGGATCAGGCAAAGTGCTGGCCAAGAGAGTAGGAGACAGTCCAGTGAATCTGAGGAAGCACATGTTTGTGTCCAATACTCTCTACTCCTTGTACCACTCTGCATTGCTCATGTATTCCAGACATGCCTGGCTTTATGGGCATATGACTTCCACAGTTGCACAGTGTCTTGTGCTTAGAGGCATTCATGCTTAGAGGGGCTTTATGATTGGATTAATCTTCTGAACCTGCTGTTTTGTTTTTTAGACAGAGGGCACTCCTCTGCTGAAGAGGAAATGGTTTTGCATTAATTCCCTAGGGGTTTGCTCTCCCCTCTCTTATGGATTTGTCATAGACTTGCACAGAGTCCTATAATGCCCACTATGCATGCCTCTAGCAAGTTTGAGTTCTGCTGGATTATCTGGCACAATGGGCAGAACAGCTTGGGCCAGAGCCTGTATCTTCTATAGAACTCTTTTTTGTTCTGGGTTCCACTTGAGACCAGTAGCCTTTGGAAACTCCCAATAGTGAATCAGAGCAATATCCTGAAATGTGGAATATGTTGACTCAAAAATCCCAGTAGGCCCCAAAACACTGTGCCTTTTCTTTTGTGAGAGGAATTATATACCAGACAACATGGCATTTACTTTAAAAAGGATGTTTTGACACAAGGACCAGGAGCGTCGGACCTCTAAAAGCACCATGTATTACAAGTCCCTGAATCTGCTGAAGTTTATATCTCTCTTCTTCTGGTATTTTAATTCTGTTAAATGTTATACTATTTTACTATGTTTAAGGAACTTACCACTTCCTCCTTATGGGTACCAATTAAAGTAATATTATTAATATATTGAGTTAGGTTGATGTTTTGCAAAATGCCAATTAAACTGAAAACAGAAGTGACATAGCCCTGACTAAAACAGTGAAGCAGTGCTTTTGTTCTTACCACACCAAGCAAATTGTTTTGATTTTCTCTCACAATAGGCCTAGATTAAAAAGCATTCACCAAATCAAAAGCCACATACAAAGTGCCAGAAACCACGTTCTGCTCAGGAAAGATACCACATTCTGGAGAGCATCTGCAAGTGCAATTTAAGTTTATGCTAATGTGCATTCATTCTATCATCCATCTGGTTTTGGAAGAGGGCAGAAAGGTTAACTGAATAGGAATATAAAATGTAACACCACCTCCATTGTTCATTACCAGGAGGACTTCAGATTTCTTTCAGTCCTTTATCTCTGCTTCTCCAATTGGCTCAGTTCTGAGAACTGGCGGAGAGTCTTTGATTTTTCACATCGGAGGCTGACCTCAGGACTCACCTTTTTCAACTCTATTTTCCTCTTGGTTAATAATTATTTAGCAAAGTACACAGCCTCCTCAAAACTATTGGCCATTCAACCCATTCCAATGAGGATGTTGCTGTCACCAGTCCATTAAATCTGACATTTGTAAGATCACCAGTGAGGTGTGTTGCCTTGCCAATGGTTAGTCTTCATTTTGCATGCTCTGTTAGCAGTATCGAATGTAATTTATTTACATTTGAAGATGCTGCCCTCTTCTGATTTTATCCTTGTTCACTGGGCATCACCTCTCAGTCTCCTTTGCTAGTTCTTCCCCTTGTCTTTAAACTGAAAATATCACACTGTTCAAGGTCTGAATTCTACAATCTTTAATCAATCATGCTTGTTTTGTTGGTGATTTCATGCACTCCCCTTACTGATAATGTAGCCAAATGGGTCAGTAGAGAGGAATAAGGTTATTCACTTACATATTCATATATATTATGTATTTATGTACATCTATTTATGTATGACAAATTATGTAACCTCTTTTTTCTTCAACTGTCAAAGTTACATTTAAAAATAATATGACCAAAAATCTAGGGAGACGGTGAGAGCAGCAATAATGTTTTTACTTGAATTTCTACCTATTCAGAGTTATGGCGACTCTGTATCCAATTTAGTTTTATTTAAAATAGCAATGTAGATATTGATAGATTGATAGGCAGGAGATTTTAAGTATATAATAATCTATATATAATTACATAATGATATCAGTGAAGTAATTCATAGATAGAATTATGATTTACTAACCCATTTTTTATTTCTTCCATTTTGTACAATGTCTCAGTATCTGTCAGTATCTCATTTCTTAAGTTTTTTTTCTGTGATCATTTACTTATGAGTTAATTTTTATGGATGGTATGAAATAAGAGTTTAAATTTATGGGTTTTTTTCCTTCTCTTTTTACTCCCATTTTTAGGTAAGTTCATCTAGTCATGGTCTTACTTACTTTCTATGTTTTAATGATACCAACATTTAATCCTTCAGCTCAGATCTCAACCCTGGTCTCCAGAATCCATTCTCTAATAGACTATTTGACATCTTTATTTGGTTGTGTAACAAGAACTTGAACTAACATGTCCAAATCAAAATACTGATCTTCCCTCCAGTTTTCAAATCTGTTTCTTCTATAGTCTTTCCCTCTTCTGTTAATAACCACTTCAGACTTTCAGATGCTTAGACTAAAAAAAATGAAGTC